TTGAATGCAATAACATATATCAGTATAAATGTTCATTGATACACAACAATGATTAATCGATCACTGTCAGTCCTCATGCACATACATCTGTAGGTAATCAAGCCTACGACTGCAACTCTAAACTTCAATATAAAAACTCCTTGACATAAGAATGCAAACAGTCACTCACCTCTCACTGCGTCTTGCACGCTAATGACAACCAAACACTATCAACTCCCTACTAGTAATCCACCAGAACTTCCCCTTCCACCTCTGGAAGTTCACAACCCTAATATCCTTAGGTTCTTCCGGGCTTCACTACCAGGATCCTCTGCAGCTCCTCCAGGCTGCTATCATGAAGTTTCCTTGTGCAACTACGGTGCTTCACCCTTCTGTTAGGTTCTTCCACAGCTCTCTTGACTGCTACACCACCTCTACAGAAGCGCGTGACACTCCTCTTCTCTGCTGCTTCTCCTCACAGCTCGAGGTCCTCTGCTCCACTATCTTGGAGTCTCATCAGCTACTTCATCTGCTGGCTTCGAAGTTCTCAGCAACTTCTTCCCCAAAAGACAAACCTGCAACCCATCGACACTCCAATAAAATGTTCCCCTTTAACACATAAACAAAAATAACCACACAATATGCTTGCCTCAAACCTCTATCTGTCCTCTACATACAGTGAGAGTGGACTCCCCCGTTTTGGGCGGGTCCATACTCCACCTCGCCTGGCGGCGGTCCTCACTCGCTGGGAGGGTCTTCCTCCATCTGGAGCCAGGCTCCCTCAGTCGTCTGTCAGAGCTCAGAGGGGATGGACGTCGCTCCGTGCTCCTCCCTCTTCACTCTCCTATTTCAGGCCTTCTGCCTTATTAAAACATGTCTAACTTATAAATAAACATCGCTACTGTCGCTGGGCACACGACCAACTACAATGCAATCACTATGAACTGGCGTATATCGCGCTTACCACAGAACGTCTGGTCGAGGGCGCTTCTTCCTCTGACGGCGTCTGGTCAGGGCGCTCCCACGCAGCACACAATAATGCTTCTGGGCGATTTAATATCTGCTCGTCGACCAGGACTTGAGACCACAACGTTCCCAGCTCGATTCCACAGCTGGCACGTCTGCACACTTCTCTTCTCTTAGAGATATATCACTAGGGGTTCCCTTCTGACGGGAGCTCAACGGAGCGCGGCTTCCCCCTGCGATGTCTGGCACTCAAGTGAGGTCAAAGCCCTTCCAGAAGCGAGCCTCACGCCTCCAGCAAAATGTCCACATCTCCTAGCCAGTCATTTATCTATTTTCTTCTTCATTGCCCATAATCTCAAATTGATATACATATCCAAGGAACTATTTTACATATGGATTATTACCTCAATTTCTGCTAGACCTTCTGATCGGGTCAGGCTTGCTGAATAACTCTCAAGAAGGGAGACTCGTTTCTCCTGCAGGCTGAGATCATAACAAGTGGTTGTTACGGCCCGGGCGGGACGCAACGGGGTTCTTACTCTGATGTAGTTAGAGGAAGATATATATCCGGCCCCAAGCCAGTAGAGGCTTTCAAGGGATGCGATCCGTGACGCAAGTAACTAAAAGGGGAAGGGAAATAAAGGCAAAAACTTAATATAATATAATAGTACCATCACCATTTAAATATATAAAATAATAGAATACACAAGGGGGAGGGGTATTAACACTTTACAAAAGGGGATCAACACTGTAGTCTTCTGCTGGAGACTATGGATCCTCGAAGCTAGGTGCTGAGTCCGCGGTGCATTCTTCGTGGCCTCAAGACGTGTCCTCTGAGAACGCCGAGTCTACCCTGGCCACAGGTCAGCCACAACACAGGTCCACTGGGGGCACCGTCGTGGAGGCCGTCAACCACACGTCCAGCAGGTCTGCTGGCAGGTACAGAGCCACCAAGGCTGGTACGGCCACTCCACGAACGATATAAGGGGTACGCCCTAGACAGGAGTCTCGTGTGATATCACCAATCACCCTCCTGTCCTCAATACCCCAGTGGATTATCGTCTCCAACCGTCGGTCCCGGGTAAATCCTTCCACTGCCACTCCACTGGCAGGCTTAACACACCACAGTGTTCTTCCGGGGGGGCGACGTCACGACAGCTGCAGCAAACTTCACTGTATGGAGACTGGCTGCCTCGGGTAGACTGACTCCACCTTCCACACAGTGGTCCCAGGTCGGCTCTGTAAGCAGACACGTCATTAATAACCGGGACACTAATACACCACACTCACAGGCTCAGATACAAACGCCCGACATATCCACTCCCTAGATGGCGCTGTCGTCGGAGCACCACCTCACCAGAGGTCAGGAGCGGCGGTGTTGAGCGCTGAACCAGACTGGAAACTGGTCCTCGAGGCCAGTACACGCTGTCCTCACTAGGTGTCGTCGTTCGTTTGGCGGGGGTTTCGGGAGCTGACCCACAGATGGCGTGTTTGTCACTGCTCCAGGCTCGGACGCTAAATCCGGGTCCGTAACAGTGGTAGTGGTAGTGACAGTGGTAGTGATAGTGACAGTGGCAGTGACAGTGACAGTGGCAGTGACAGTGATAGTGGTAGTGACAGTGACAGTTTCAGTGGTAGAAACAGTGGCAGTGACAGTGGCAGTGACTTTGGTAGTGACAGTGACAGTGGCAGTGATAGTGGTAGTGAATATGGTAGTGACAGTGGTAGTGACAGTGGCAGTGGTAGAAACAGTGGCAGTGACAGTGGCAGTGACAGTGGTAGTGACAGTGACAGTGATAGTGGTAGTGACAGTGGTAGTGACAGTGACAGTGGCAGTGACAGTGATAGTGGTAGCGACAGTGACAGTGGCAGTGACAGTGATAGTGGCAGTGACAGCGGCAGTGATAGAAACAGTGACAGTGGTAGTGACAGTGACAGTGGTAGTGGTAGTGACAGTGGTAGTGGTAGTGACAGTGACAGTGGCAGTGGTAGTGACAGTGGTAGTAACAGTGACAGTGGTAGTGACAGTGGTAGTGGTAGTGACAGTGACAGTGGCAGTAGCAGTGACACTTGAACTGGCAGTGACAGTGACAGTGGTAGTGACAGTGAAAGTGGTAGTGACAGTGGTAGTGACAGTGATAGTGGTAGTGACAGTGGTAGTGACAGTGGTAGTGACAGTGATAGTGGTAGTGACAGTGGTAGTGACAGTGATAGTGGTAGTGACAGTGGTAGTGACAGTGGTAGTGACAGTGACAGTGGTAGTGGTAGTGACAGTGGCAGTGACAGTGATAGTGGTATTAACAGTGATAGTGACAGTGACAGTGACAGTGGCAGTGACAGTGGCAGTGAAAGTGATAGTGACAGTGGTAGTGACAGTGACAGTGGCAGTGACAGTGATAATGATAGTGACAGTAATAGTGACAGTGGTAGTGACAGTGACAGTGGCAGTTGTAGAAACAGTGGCAGTGACAGTGATAGTGGTAGTGACAGTGGTAGTGACAGTGACAGTGATAGTGGTAGTGACAGTGACAGTGATAGTGGTAGTGACAATGGTAGTGACAGTGACAGTGGTAGTGGTAGTGACAGTGGCAGTGACAGTGATAGTGGTATTAACAGTGATAGTGACAGTGACAGTGGCAGTGACAGTGGCAGTGAAAGTGATAGTGACAGTGGTAGTGACAGTGACAGTGGCAGTGACAGTGATAATGATAGTGACAGTAATAGTGACAGTGGTAGTGACAGTGACAGTGGCAGTGGTAGAAACAGTGGCAGTGACAGTGATAGTGGTAGTGACAGTGGTAGTGACAGTGACAGTGATAGTGGTAGTGACAGTGACAGTGATAGTGGTAGTGACAATGGTAGTGACAGTGACAGTGGCAGTGGTAGAAACAGTGGCAGTGACATGAATAGTGACAGTGACAGTGGTAGTGACAGTGGTAATGACAGTGTCAGTGACAGTGATAGTGACCGTGCAAGTGGTAGTGACAGTGGTAGTCTCAGTGGCAGTGATAGTGACAGTGACAGTGGCAGTGGCAGTAGCAGTGACATTTGTACTGACAGTGACAGTGACAGTGGAAGTGACAGTGATAGTGGCAGTGACAGTGGCAGTGACTGTGGCAGTGACAGTGACACCTTTGACAGTGACGGTGGCAGTGACAGTGGCAGTGCTAGTGACAATGGCAGTGGTAGTGACTGTGACAGAGATAGTGACAGTGACACCAGTGACAGTGGTAGTGACAGTGACAGTGGCAGTGACAGTGATAGTGGTAGTGACAGTGGTAGTGACAGCGACAGTGACAGTGGTAGTGACAGTGGTAATGACAGTGGCAGTGACAGTGGTAGTGACAGTGACAGTGGTAGTGACAGTGACAGTGGTAGTGACAGTGGTAATGACAGTGGCAGTGACATTGATAGTGGTAGTGTCAGTGACAGTGATAGTGACAGTGACAGTGGTAGTGACAGTGGTAGTGTCAGTGGCAGTGGCAGTGACAGTGACACCAGTGACAGTGACACCAGTGACAGTGACAGCGGTAGTGACAGTGACAATGGTAGTGGCAATGACAGTGACAGTGACAGTGGCAATAACAGTGACAGTGGCAGTGACAGTGACAGCGGTAGTGACAGTGACAATGACAGTGGTAGTGGCAGTAACAGTGGCAATGACAGTGGTAGTGACAGTGACGGTGGCAGTGACAGTGACAGTGGTAGTGACAGTGGTAGTGACAGTGACACCAGTGACAGTGACAGTGGTAGTGACAGTGACAGCGGTAGTGACGGTGGCAGTGACAGTGGTAGTGACAGTGACACCAGTGACAGAGTCAGTGGTAGTGACAGTGGCAGTGACAGTGGCAGTGACAGTGACACCAGTGACAGTGACAGCGGTAGTGACAGTGACGGTGGCAGTGACAGTGGTAGTGACAGTGACACCAGTGACAGTGGTAGTGACAGCGACAGTGACAGTGGTAGTGACAGTGACAGTGGTAGTGACAGTGACAGTGGTAGTGACAGTGACAGTGGTAGTGACAGTGACAATGACAGTGGTAGTGACAGTGAGAATGACGGTGACAGTGGCAATGACAGTGACACCGACACCAATGGCAGTAGCAGTGACACCAATGGCAGTAACAGTGACACCAGTGACAGCAGCTGGGAAACCTGCCAGCTGCTATCTATAAAGGATATCATTCAGAGATATCTCAATCTAAGCCCAATACTCTTTATATTATAAAGGAAAAATATATGCAATGTGCCATATATACTATTGTTTCATAATTATAAAGATTCTAATTATATATTCAAGGTAGTTTTTTTGCTTGTGTCATTTCTTATTATATCATCTTTTTATTTTCATGTCATCTTATTTTACATAAGATAATGACAATAACGTGATATATATCAATGAACAACATCACGTCCTGAAAGCGCCAATGAACCGGGTTCGATTCCCCGTCTTCCTCCGAAGATTTTCTCATCTTATTATAATTAATGTTGATAATGATTTACTTTTCAGGTCATGTGTGTTTACATTATATTTTGCATTAATTTCTGGCTATATATACTCCTTGATGTGTATACATCAAGTGTGTATACAATAAGTGAATACATTTTCAAGTTTTCACATACGATTGACCTTGGGCTTCATTTCTCAGGATAAGGAATGTTTGAAGTTTGGGAATATATTCTTAAACCATTTACCTTTCCTTTTTCATCTTGCAGATGAAAAGATGTTCCTGCGAGTTGGTTAGGTACCTGGGGGTTGTCTAGGTACCTGGGGGTTATCTAGGTACCTGGGAGTTATCAAGGTACCTGTGAGTTATCTAGGTACCTGGGAGTTATCTAGGTACCTGTGGGTTAGCTAGGTACCTGTGGGTTATCTAGGTACCTGTGAGTTATCTAGGCACCTGTGAGTTATCTAGGTACCTGGGAGTTATCTAGGTACCTGTGAGTTATCTAGGTACCTGGGAGTTATCTAGGTACCTGGGAGTTATCTAGGTACCTGGGAGTTATCTAGGTACCTGTGAGTTATCTAGATACCTGTGAGTTATATAGGTATCTGGGAGTTAGGCAGCTCTAGTGAGTTACAACGGCCAAGCCCTCATCTTGAGTCTCCCCGTTAAGAATATCTGTCCTACTATTCATGAAAACGGAAAATTATTAAAAAATACAATCATCTATTTCCTTTAAAAATAAAAAACACTTGGAAACTCCCCCAAAAAATATTTCTGTAATAAAATTTCGCATGGAATGCAGAGACATATTTTCCCAGACAGAAACATACTCCATTATGAGTATATTTATGAGATAAATATATTCATAAGGTTTCAACAGACATGCAGCAAGACATGGATGTGTATCACTAGACTCGCTGATGCTGGCCGTCTCGGGATGAGGGCAGCATCCTCGGGCTAATGCTCTCTCAGAACCATTGTCAGCGGGATAAGAAGATTTCTCCCTCCTTTGCGTAAAGCACATTACTCGAGCGATCAAACTCCTGAGTTGGCTGGTTAGGTCCCGGCGGTCAGGAGCCGGATGAGTCCCCAAGCTGACAGTAGCCGGTTGGACCCCAAGCTGACAGGAGCCGGTTGGACCCCAAGCTGACAGGAGCCGGTTGGACCCCAAGCTGACAGGAGCCGGTTGGACCCCAAGCTGACAGGAGCCGGTTGGACCCCAAGCTGACAGGAGCCGGTTGGACGGTGGACCCCCGGAACAAGAACTGCATCAATGGACATTTAACACAACAACAAAGCAATAGGAGGACATATACAAGAGCAAGCGAGAGGTGAACACATATCAGATAATACTGACCCAAAAGTAAAACAATTACAAAACGTAATTGGATATGAAAGAGCCAAATTAGATATTCAAATAGAGGAGAGGAAGCAGGATAGGGGACGGCGGCTGTGTTGTTAGTAACGACCCTTCACGACAACGACAGTTCAGGGTCATTATGTACTGTAATGGCACTAGGGAGAAGAGGGGAGAGAGAGAGCTGTCATCTGGAGCCTTTCTCTCTCTTCCTGTCTCTCTGTCCCCTCGCGCCTCTAGCGTCCCCTCGCGCCTCTAGCGTCCCCTCGCGCCTCTAGCGTCCACCTCGAGTCTCTAGCGTCCCCTCGCGCCTCTAGCGTCCCCTCGCGCCTCTAGCGTCCCCTCGCGCCTCTAGCGTCCACCTCGAGTCTCTAGCGTCCCCTCGAGTCTCAAGCGTCCCCTCTCGCCTCTAGCGTCCCCTCGCGCCTCTAGCGTCCACCTCGCGCCTCTAGCGTCCCCTCGCACCTCTAGCGTCCCCTCGTACCTCTAGCCTCTCCTCGCACCTCTAGCATCCCATCGCACCTCTAGCGTCCCCTCGCACCTCTAGCGTCCCCTCGCACCTCTAGCGTCCCCTCGCACCTCAAGCGTCCCCTCGCACCTCTATCGTCCCCTCGCACCTCTAGCGTCCCCTCGCACCTCTAGCGTCCCCTCGCACCTCTAGCGTCCCCTCGCACCTCTAGCGTCCCCTCGCACCTCTAGCGTCCCCTCGCACCTCTAGCGTCCCCTCGCACCTCTAGCGTCCCCTCGTACCTCTAGCGTCCCATCGCATCTCTAGCGTCCCCTCGTACCTCTAGCGTCCTATCGCACTTCTAGCGTCCCATCGCACCTCTAGCGTCCCCTCGTACCTCTAGCGTCCCATCGCATCTCTAGCGTCCCCTCGTACCTCTAGCGTCCTATCGCACCTCTAGCGTCCCCTCGCACCTCTAGCGTCCCCTCGCATCTCTAGCGTCCCCTCGCATCTCTAGCGTCCCCTCATACCTCTAGCGTCCTATCGTACCTCTAGCGTCCCCTCGCACCTCTAGCGTCCCCTCGCACCTCTAGCGTCCCCTCGCACCTCTAGCGTCCCCTCGCACCTCTAGCGTCCCCTCGCACCTCTAGCGTCCCCTCGCACCTCTAGCGTCCCCTCGCACCTCTAGCGTCCCCTCGCACCTCTAGCGTCCCCTCGCACCTCTAGCGTCCCCTCGCACCTCTAGCGTCCCCTCGCACCTCTAGCGTCCCCTCGCACCTCTAGCGTCTCCTCGCACCTCTACTCACACCTCTAGCGTCCCCTCGCTCCTCTAGCGTCCCCTCGCACCTCTAGCGTCCCCTCGCACCTCTAGCGTCCCCTCGCACCTCTAGCGTCCCCTCCCACCTCTAGCGTCCCCTCGCACCTCTAGCGTCCCCTCGCACCTCTAGCGTCCCCTCGCACCTCTAGCGTCCCCTCGCACCTCTAGCGTCCCCTCGCACCACTAGCGTCCCCTCGCACCTCTAGCGTCCCCTCATACCTCTAGCGTCCTATCGCACCTCCAGCGTCCCCTCGCACCTCTAGCGTCCCCTCGCACCTCTAGCGTCCCCTCGCACCTCTAGCGTCCCCTCGCACCTCTAGCGTCCCCTCGCACCTCTAGCGTCCCCTCGCACCTCTAGCGTCCCCTCGCACCTCTAGCATCCCCTCGCACCTCGAGCGTCCCCTCGCACCTCTAGCGTCCTCTCGCACCTCTAGCGTCCCCTCGCACCTCTAGCGTCCCCTCGCACCTCTAGCGTCCCCTCGCACCTCTAGCGTCCCCTCGCACCTCTAGCGTCCCCTCGCACCTCTAGCGTCCCCTCATACCTCTAGCGTCCTATCGCACTTCCAGCGTCCCCTCGCACCTCTAGCGTCCCCTCGCACCTCTAGCGTCCCCTCGCACCTCTAGCGTCCCCTCGCACCTCTAGCGTTCCCTCGCACCTCTAGCGTCCCCTCGCACCTGTAGCGTCCCCTCGCGCCTCTAGCGTCCCCTCGCGCCTCTAGCGTCCCCTCGCACCTCTAGCGTCCCCTCGCTCCTCTAGCGTCCCCTCGCTCCTCTAGCGTCCCCTCGCACCTCTAGCATCCCCTCGCACCTCTAGCGTCCCCTCACACCTCTAGCGTCCCCTCGCACCTCTAGCGTCCCCTCACACCTCTAGCGTCCCCTCGCACCTCTAGCGTCCCCTCGCACCTCTAGCGTCCCCTCGCACCTCTAGCGTCCCCTCGCACCTCTAGCGTCCCCTCGCACGTCTAGCGTCCCCTCGCACCTCTAGCGTCCCCTCGCACCTCTAGCGTCCCCTCGCACCACTAGCGTCCCCTCGCACCTCTAGCGTACCCTCATACCTCTAGCGTCGTATCGCACCTCCAGCGTCCCCTCGCACCTCTAGCGTCCCCTCGCACCTCTAGCGTCCCCTCGCACCTCTAGCGTCCCCTCGCACCTCTAGCGTCCCCTCGCACCTCTAGCGTCCCCTCGCACCTCTAGCGTCCGCTGGCACCTCTAGCGTCCCCTCGCACCTCTGGCGTCCGCTGGCACCTCTAGCGTCCCCTCGCACCACTAGCGTCCCCTCGCACCTCTAGCGTCCCCTCGCACCTCTAGCATCCCCTCGCACCTCCAGCGTCCCCTCGCACCTCTAACGTCCCCTCGCGCCTCTAGCGTCCCCTCGCACCTCTAGCGTCCCCTCGCACCTCTAGCGTCCCCTCGCACCTCTAGCGTCCCCTCGCACCTCTAGCGTCCGCTCGCACCTCTAGCGTCCCCTCGCACCTCTGGCGTCAGCTGGCACCTCTAGCGTCCCCTCGCACCTCTAGCGTCCCCTCGCACCTCTAGCGCGTAGCGTCCCCTCGCACCTCTACCGTCCCCTCGCACCTCTAGCGTCCCCTCGCACGTTCCCTCTCACCTCTAGCGTCCCCTCGCACCACTAGCGTCCGCTGGCACCTCTAGCGTCCCCTCGCACCACTAGCGTCCCCTCGCACCTCTAGCGTTCCCTCGCACCACTAGCGTCCCCTCGCACCACTAGCGTTCCCTCGCACCACTAGCGTCCCCTGGCATCTCTGGCGTCCGCTGGCACCTCTAGCGTCCTGACTCTGCCTCATCCAGCTTTCTGTATATTAAACCACTTAAATTTAATATTACTACTTTGTACCTGAAATTTACATATTCCCTGGGCATTTCTACAAACAAAATCGGCGCCGAGATTGCCTCACATTCTTGAGAGAGGAGCCTGGGTAGACAGCTATTTAGAAATCACAAATTTCCTCTCTATCACAAACAAGCCAAATTGCTTCCTGCATTGTAAATGTTTTTCGCCAACACAGATGTTGTAAAGTTATTTGTGGAAGCTGTTGACTGAAGCACGCCGTGAGAGATGCTGGTCAATATGACCTGTTGCAGCAAGATTGTGACTAATTGCAGCAAGATTGTGGCCAGTTGCAGCAAGATTGTGGCCAATTGCAGCAAGATTGTGATCAGTTGCAGCAAGATTGTGGCCAGTTGCAGCAAGATTGTGACCAGTTGCAGCAAGATTGTGGCCAGTTGCAGCAAGATTGTGGCCAGTTGCAGCAAGATTGTGGCCAGTTGCAGCAAGATTGTGGCCAGTTGCAGCAAGATTGTGGCCAGTTGCAGCAAGATTGTGGCCAGTTGCAGCAAGATTGTGGCCAGTTGCAGCAAGATTGTGACCAGTTGCAGCAAGATTGTGACCAGTTGTTGCAAGATTGTGACCAGTTGTTGCAAGATTGTGACCAGTTGCAGCAAGATTGTGACCAGTTGCTTCAAGATTGTGACCAGTTGTTGCAAGATTGTGACCAGTTGTTGCAAGATTGTGGTCAGTTGCTGCAAGATTGTGACCAGTTGTTGCAAGATTGTGACCAGTTGTTGCAAGATTGTGACCAGTTGCAGCAAGATTGTGACCAGTTGCTTCAAGATGGTGACCAGTTGTTGCAAGATTGTGACCAGTTGTTGCAAGATTGTGACCAGTTGCAGCAAGATTGTGACCAGTTGCTGCAAGATTGTGACCAGTTGCAGCAAGATTGTGACCAGTTGCTTCAAGATGGTGACCAGTTGCTGCAAGATTGTGACCAGTTGTTGCAAGATTGTGGCCAGTTGCTGCAAGATTGTGACCAGTTGTTGCAAGATTGTGGTCAGTTGCTGCAAGATTGTGGCCAGTTGCTGCAAGATTGTGACCAGTTGCTGCAAGATTGTGGCCAGTTGCTGCAAGATTGTGGCCAGTTGTTGCAAGATTGTGGCCAGTTGCTTCAAGATGGTGACCAGTTGTTGCAAGATTGTGACCAGTTGCTGCAAGATTGTGGCCAGTTGCAGCAAGATTGTGGCCAGTTGAAGCAAGATTGTGGCCAGTTGCTTCAAGATTGTGACCAGTTGTTGCAAGATTGTGACCAGTTGCAGCAAGATTGTGACCAGTTGCTTCAAGATGGTGACCAGTTGTTGCAAGATTGTGACCAGTTGTTGCAAGATTGTGACCAGTTGCAGCAACATTGTGACCAGTTGCTTCAAGATGGTGACCAGTTGCAGCAAGATTGTGACCAGTTGCTTCAAGATGGTGACCAGTTGCAGCAAGATGGTGACCAGTTGCTTCAAGATGGTGACCAGTTGCAGCAAGATTCTGACCAGTTGCAGCAAGATTGCGGCCTGTTGCTGCAAGATTGTGACCAGTTGCAGCAAGATTGTGGCCAGTTTCTGCAAGATTGTGACCAGTTGCTGCAAGATTGTGGCCAGTTGCAGCAAGATTGTGACCAGTTGTAGCAAGATTGTGACCAGTTGAAGCAAGATTGTGACCAGTTGCAGCAAGATTGTGACCAGTTGCAGCAAGATTGTGACCAGTTGCAGCAAGATTGTGGCCAGTTGCAGCAAGATTGTGACCAGTTGCAACCTGTCCTCCTACAACCTCCTGCTACAACCTGTCCTCTTACAACCTGTCCTCCTACAACCTGTCCTCCTACAACCTCCTCCTACAACCTGTCCTCTTACAACCTGTCCTCCTACAACCTGTCCTTCTACAACCTGTCCTCCTACAACCTGTCCTCCTACAACCTGTCCTCCTACAACCTGTCCTTCTACAACCGGTCCTCCTACAACCTGTCCTCCTAAAACCTGTCCTCCTACAACCTGTCCTCCTACAACCTCCTCCTACAACCTGTCCTCCTACAACCTGTCCTGCTAAATCCTGTCCTCCTTCAATCTGTCCTCCTTCCATCTGTCCTCCTACAACCTGTCCTCCTACAACCTGTCCTCCTACAACCTCTCCTCCTACAACCTGTCCTCCTACAACCTCCTCCTACAACCTGTCCTCCTACAACCTCCTCCTACAGCCTCCTCCTACAACCTGTCCTCCTACAACCTCCTTCCACAACCTGTCCTCCTACACACCTGTCCCCTCCTACAACCTCCTCCTACAACCTGTCCTACAACCTGTCCTCCTACAACCTGTCCTCCTACAACCTGTCTTCCTACAAAGAACGTCGCTTTTAGCTCCAATGCGTTACGTAAGTCCGAAAAGTTGTCGTACTAGCAAATGGAAGCTGACGAAAGTGACGTACTGTCCCGTTTTCTGTTTTGGCTCCTCTGGTAGGTTAGGATAAGGGACTTTAAATTGTCCGTTTTCTTGACGTTGGGGAACCTTAAGAGGACAAGGTTCTTGTAACACCTTTTACAAATATTGTAAAACCCCTTGAGAAACCTTCCAGTACACTTCCAGCTCCTAGCATCGATTACGAATTTTCTTCCAACCTCTCATGTCATTTTTGTGGCCATATTATCACCCATTGTCACCTTCTAGGTCTCATCCAGCTACTTGCATCACTTTCCAGGGCTCACCCAGGTCCAGGCATCCCCCTGCCAGTCAACATCCGCTCCTGGCATCAGGTCAAACGTAAATCTGTGTATCTATGTATTTACATATGTAGGTTAGCTTAGCATTTTAAAAGCACTACAATCACCTTCTGTGATTGATTGTTCAATAAACCCCTGAACTATATATTTAACAGATCTCTCACCCTGTCCATGGAGGACAGGAGAAAATGTATATATTCTGGTTAGCATTGTAAATGTGCGGCTACGTCTGTGGTAGAAAATAATAATAATGATAAAATATTACCTTTCATGTATTCTGCAGCGTCTAGCGCCACCTTCCATTAATTTTACAGCTCCTCATGTCACTTTCCATGGCTCCTGCAGTTCCTTAATCGCCTGGCAGGCCCCATGCATCACCTTCCAGACGCTGTACAGCGTCCAGCGCCACCTTCCATTAATTATCCAGCCTCTCGCCTCATTTTCCAGGCTCACGTTCATCACATATCGCTATTCTCCAGCCCTTTTCTTACTCCTTTCATCACTTTTCTGGATATGATAGCGAGGCTGCATCTTTCCATCGTCAGTACTTTGAATTGGTCGTTAGAACCACGACGGGTCTTCTTGTAGGTTCGCGTTCGATCCCCAATGGTCAATGTGATTCGGTACGGTTCATTTCCTCAGGCCTCCCATTACAGCTCCTGTTCTGTCCTCATACCTCTTCCTTGTGCTGTACAGACAGACTGGTTTAGTGTATACTGTTGATCTTTTCTTACCATGGTCTATGTACAGAGGGTGAGTCATTATAACGGGGCTGAAGATGTGATGTACAAACCACGTATCAGAAAGTGAAAGGAACGACACTTTCTCTTAGAAACTGTCGTTCCTTTCACGACAACGATTCACGTCACTTTTTTCACGACAACACGACACGAAAATGTCGTTTATTTCAGTTTCTGATGAGTACTCACCTAGTTGTGCTTACAGGGGGTTGAGCTATGGCTCTTTGGTCCCGCCTTTCAACCGTCAATCAACTGATGTGTGGTTTGGTCATCATGGTATCTATATTTACAGGTTGCAGGTTGCATACATCTCAATCATACATTATGATGATATTTTTTTTTTTAGTTCAGTCTCTCACTACACACCCAACTTTACCCTTGGAATATATTAATTATATTTGTCTCTCTCCGGTGTATCCTGCTCCATGATTCTCCTGGCAAGTTCATCAAGGTGCACAAACACCATAACAAATGTTTATTGAGCAGTTGCACATTATTGTCAACTTTGGAAATATATTTAAAAAAGTTTCTTAATTTATTTATTCCAGGCGAGTTTTCCTTCGTCTTCTAACCGATCTCAGTGTTAAGTGTAGCATTAGGAGATTTTATCTAATTATATTTAGATGTGATTTGTCCCTCGCAGTAATGCTGTACCTGGCGACGTTCTTTCCGTATTTTCCTTGACCTATCGCTCATAAATACTGGAATGCTGTAAATGTTTGGTAGCATTATCGCCCTCGTCTGTTAGTGTTTATATGAAGGTCTCGTGTCATTCACATGGAAACTGTATACGTCTTGTATGAAGTATTTCATACTTCAAGTAGTGCAAACTGGCACTGGTACTTATAAGATTCTCTTGTTGTTCATACAGAGGCTGTAACTGTCTGACAACATTATTTTAATTAAGGGAAGATATTTTAATTATTTTTAGCTATGATTTTAGTCTCTAAAACTGCAGTTATATATGTCATAGTTACATATAAAAAATCGGTCCTCCTTAATTCTGAGATGTGTGGTTTTGTCTTTGTGTACCTATTACTACACCGGTTGTATTTCCAGAGCAAATGGCTTTCCATAGGGAGGAAGGGAGAGGCCTGCCTCGTGGTCTCGGAAGTTCATTCTTCAGAGTGGAGCAGAGTTATGTTCCTTAGGAGTGTGAAAACTTAGATGACATTCTCCAAGGTGTAGAGGAGTGGATTGTCTCAGGGATCAATGGTGTATGTGCGTATGGAGACGTACAGGACACAAGTGTGGGCGTAGCAAGCTGAGTGACGTGACGCAAGTGACGCAAGCTGAAGTGGGCAGAAGACAAAGGATTTTTCCCGGATGATTGTTTCTGAAAATCCTAATATTGATGTTGAGCTGCTTCTGGCTGGCAACACAACATTCAGAAAACGTTCAGCGCCGTATGTCTTACACTGAATGGCTTTGCCCTTGTGGTACCGGTGTCAAATTAACAGGAGTTTGATTGACACCAAGCACTTTAACCTTATAAACCACAATCAAGGAAAGATTGTTAATAACCCCGCTGGATAAATTGTTTCTTGAAAACCTGTAATTTACAAATGTCCGTAATCACACCTATGTGATTTACGGGTTTACGGAAAGTGGATCATACCCATTCGATCGACTTACACTTCCCCGACTCTTTCCTGTATAAGCAGCAAGTCCTCTGTAGCTCAGTTAGCGGTAAAAAAAGGCCCTCACAACTTAAATTCAATTCTTAATAAAGTCTTTTCAAAACTTCTGCACGATAAAAAGTTTTCTTTGGCTCCAAAAATCTGTGATGTTTAAAAGGCAGCGAAGCACTCTATCCAATGTGAGAAGTGAGCCCATACATGTCCCAGAAGTGCTTGGATCACAACCTTTGACTCACAGGGGATCACAGCCTTTGACTCACAGGGGATCACAACATGTGACTCACAGGGGATCACAACATGTGACTCACAGAGGATCACAACATGTGACTCACAGAGGGTCACAACATGTGACTCACAGAGGATCATAACATGTGACTCACAGAGGATCATAACATGTGACTCACAGAGGATCACAACATGTGACTCACAGAGGATCACAACATGTGACTCACAGAGGATCACAACATGTGACTCACAGAGGATCACAACATGTGACTCACAGAGGATCACAACATGTGACTCACAGAGGATCACAACCTGAGACTCACAGAGAATCACAACATGTGACTTTCAGGGGTAGTGGTAGAAGAGAGAGTGAGACACAACACTATTGTGGAAGGCTAATGACACTACCTAACATGTCCGGCTTAGTGGTCTGATGAAACCAATCTGTGTCCTCAAAAATTAAATAATTTTTTGCCTGAGAGGTATTTTTCACATTACTCGTATCGGAAGACAGTCAAGTGAAGCTTTCAAAGAGCTGTATTAACGGAGATGAAATTTATCTCACGAATTTTATGAAAATTGTAAAAAAAATTATGGCACTCAATAGCGGTAAAAAATTAGATTTGTTATGATATTTGGAAAGTGTGCGTGGTATTTGTTATGGATCATGGACAAGACCCCCACTTAAGTGTTGAGAGGGAGTAACCTTGAGCATCACTGGAACACACAGCCTGGCCAAATATCAATCAATGTTCTAAGGAAATGAAAAGCTAGCAAAAAATATTCCAGTTTACTGAGCATTAACATAAGTCCATATAACATTAAAAAATAATACCATCTACTAACTCACACACAATTACTTTATCCAGCTTCTCATCCGCTGGGCATGATCAACACAAACAGGTCTGGAAACTGCATATACTCAGCACTAGCTGACACCAGGCTCTATCCTGGCGCAGTGGGACACTAGCGCCTATATGCTGCTAATACCAATACAGGATGGAGATGTCTCAACCAGTGACAAATTAGGTAATGAGGAAACAATATCATATACAGCACTTTGGCATTACTTAAGTTCCTCAGAATAAATCACCTCATTAAGACAGAACAGCACCTACCACCTGGTACAAATGATGTACAACAGTAGCAATGATCCAAGGCAATAAGAAATATTGCTGGAACTACAGTGGACATCTTCAAGAGAAAACTAGATTGTTTTCTAAAAAAATGCTGGACCAACCGGGCTGTGGTGGGTATGTGGGCCTGCGAGCCGCTCCAAGCAACAGCCTGTTGGACCAAGCTCTCACAA